GCTCTATTCTTAAGCAACTCCCGCACTCCTTGCACGTGGCTCTCTTCTTCACACTACAGTAGTGACAAGAACTTGCTTTGCTAGGAAGCAAGCTTGTAAGGATTCCTTTCTTCCCCTTAGTCCCATTAGATAGGCGGCTTTGTTTTTACGTTACTATTTTGTCTCCTTACACTTGACTCTTTTCTTCCCACCCCAGCAGCGATGAGATCCGCTCGACTAGGAGGCGAGCGTCGACAAGCATGTGAGTATTCCTTTCTTCCTATGGTGTCACCACTTGATGGATCAAACAAGAAGATGAGTTGGCGGTTCTAACCCTCTCCTGCCCACTCAAAAACGATTACGCAACAAGCACTTAACTCAGTTTGAAAAATGAATGCAAATAAATTTTTTCAATTTTTTATTTATATGAGGTTGTTGATTGATAAAAAAATGAAATGAACAAAAAATAGAGATCAATAGATTCATCGTTTCAGACGGTGGCAAAAAATAAAAACAAAATTTTCGAAAGACGTGACTCTTTGGCTAATACAAAACCACGTTGAAATGAAAGAAGTAATACTCATACGCTTATTTCAATTTCAAAACTTTGCTCTCTAGCTCTCGTTTACTTGCTTCCGTTCTTCTCTTGATCCCTCGTTTTTTTATTTTGATTCAATCTCAGTCTCAATATACATGCAGGCCAAATCCGCCTTCTACATGTGAGGCCGAATCAAACGCCAGATTACTCTTCACAGGTAAAACCTTTGCTAATCCGCAAACTTACTCCTGACGAGTTGAATTTTAAATTTGAAGACTTAATGCCGTTGATATCTGATCCGGGTAGAATGAATTTTAAATTTGAAGACCCTGCCCCGTTAATCTTTGATATGAGCAGGAAGAAACAATTATAAATGCTGTCCGGACCTCCCCACGAGCTAGCAAACAACTATAAACTTAAGTACATATGGGGCAAAGTCTGATCTACACTAAAATAAACAAACATGCTACTTTCAAAGGGAACCAGTAAGTCTTATAAACACTACTGGCAACTTTTAAGGTAGTTGTAATATCTGTCAACCAAAAAACTAACGAGCATCTTAGCCTATAAGACCCACGCATGAATTCTCTATCTCTGCCCCAATCGTTTGCACGCAATCCGATTGCCTGTACATTTCCTTGCCTTTTTGATTGCTTTTTACCTAAACCTATACATGAATCGTGCCTTCACTTGCACATTGCTTGCGTGAACTATCCAAAATTGGTCGAGATCTTCAATTAGAGAAATATGAAATTTAAATTGCTTACTTTTGTGTCATATATGCATGATTGTTTCAATTGTTTATATGGGTTTGTCATTTTAACAACAAATAAGTTAAATAGACATGTATTTGTCAAATTGTGAAGACCGCACCATTGATTTTTTTTTTTAAAATTGGGCTGATAAAAATCAAATTGAGGACCCGCAATACTGATCTATGATCTTGGCGAATGAATTTTAAAATTGAAGGCGTTGATTTTTAATCTAGGTGAGATGTCTCTAACTTCGAACACCTCGTGCAGTTGAATCTTTAATCCCGACGAGTTAAATTTAAAATTTGAAGACTTTATGCCGTTGATATCTTATTCGGGTAGAATGAATTTTAAATTTGAAGACCTTGTGTCGTTAATCTCTGATCCGAGCAGAAAGAAACAATGATAAATGTTGTCCCGACCTCCCCGTGAGCTAGCAAACAACTACAAATTAAAATACCTATGGGTAAAAGTCTAATCTACACTAATATAAACAAACATGCTACTTTCTAAGGGAAGTAGTAAGTCTTATAAATAATGCGGGAAACTTTTAATGGAGCCATAAGACCTGTCAACCAAAAAACTAACGAGCATCTTTCTTGTTAGGGTTGTAAGACCCATGAATGGGCTACTTCCAAAGGGAAACAGTAAGACCTGTTTTGCTCAAATAAGTAAGCTACTTTTGAAATGCATAAGTTATAAGACCTAACTAAAAACCAAAACTAACGGACAACTACTAAGTGGAGTAGTAAGTCCCACTCCAAATTAAACCTACAGATATCTTGTAAGGGAGTCATAAGACCTGTCAAATAAAATTAACGGGTATCTTAGTCTAAAGGACTAGGTTGTAATACCCACTTTCAGACATCTTCCAAAAGTTGTAAGGCTTGTTATTTGAGAGAAACTCCTATGAGAAATTTTAAACTCTCAAATTAAATTTGAATCAACTGGCATCTTAGCCTATAGGGCTAGGTTGTAAGACCCGCTAACAGACAACTTCTAAGTGAAGTTGTAAGACCCACACGTGAGAAAAATTGCTAAATAAATTGCAAGACCCTAAAATCCAAACAAATAAAACTAATGGGCATGCTAGTCTATAGGGCTAAGTTTTGAGGCCCACAAGTTGGCTACTTCTAATAGGAGTCGTAAGATTCGCTTTGCGGGCTAATTACAATAAAAATTGTAAGCCTCGATTCAAATTCAAACACCCGGGCTACTTCTAGGAGAAACCATAAGACACGCTTCATTTTAAATTTCTAGGTAACTTCTAAATAAAGTTATAAATCACTTGAAAATAAATTAACTAATATTACTAAGTTTTTTGTTTGACATTTGCACCAAAACTTTAAAATGGTGGGATTTATTGGCGTGGCATTGAAGAATGCATTATGGGCAGCAAACATGGAAACTACTATTAGCCAATTCACTTTTAGAATCAAGGAGCTAGAAAAATTAGATCATGCAGTCTTTTAATGGTTAAATGAGAAGCCTCCAAGTGAAAGTTTAAGATCTCATTTTAACTTTATCCCAAAATGTGACATTTGCTCAACATTATATATGAATTTTTCAATGCTTTCATAGTTAATGCTACAGAATTGCCAGTTGTTTTAATGCTTGAAAGTATTAGATCTATAGTTATGATAAGAATGTTAAAGAATAAGGAGAAGGCCATGAAATAAAGTGAAAAATTATGTCCAAGAATTCGGGAGGAATAAACATGAAGCTGATACATGCATTGGTTATATAGCTGATGTTAACAACTATGAAATAAATGCTATACATGGAGCCTACTACATGTTGGATTTGGTGTCCAAGTTGTATGGTTGTAGGAGGTGGGAATTAAATAAAATACCCTGTGAATGTGCTTGTGTTATAGTTCATATGAATATGGGTGATTGTGTAGACTATGTTGATCCATGCTATTTTGTTGAAATTTACATGCAAACTTATGAGTGCAACATTATGCCTTTAAATGCCGTTGAAGAGTGGTCAAATAGTCCCAAGATTTCATCATTGCCCCTAATATATAATAAATCAAAGAGAGGAAAGCTACCTAAGATACAAAGAAGGGCGGCTGATGAACAATCATTACGTTCTCATAAAAAAAAGTTCAATAGAGTCACAATCAAGCTTCATTGTAGTAAATTTTAAAATCTAAATTTATTTCATTTTGAAATGACATTTGATTTAATTATAAAGGCAATCACAGTTTGAACTAGCATTGCAACCTTTTATGCAAGGAAAATATTTTATTCTTTAATACAAAAACATCAAGTCTTTCTCCTTTTACATGTGGTATGTGAATTTTTTTTCTCTGTTATGTCATGTTAAGAGTCAAATTCTCATTTAAATCTAATAAAAAAAAGATTATTTCTAATATTTTCTAACTATGTCTTTTAGGTCTATCTCTACCTTTCTTAACATAGGCCAAATCTAATACATCCAATATCTTTAATAAATTATCTATTTTACTCTACTTGCGTCCTATATAAAATATATATATATATATATATATATATATATATTTCAAATGATTCATATAAGAAAAAAAACTTTTACTCTTTATAAAAAAGTAATTTCCATCAACTAAATATATATTTCATTTTTCTCTAAAATAAAAATTTTAATAAAATTGATACATAAATTTAAAATTCACTTTTCTTTCACTATAATATATTTAGAATAAAAAAATGTCAAACAAAAATGCCAAAATAAACTTGTTGGCTTTATGCGCATTCTTGATAGGCTTCTCTTTATATACAAACATATTTGTTGTACACGAGAAAATATAGTTAATTGATAATTATATTTAATAAGTAATTCAACAAGAAAAAATTTCTAAAAATACACATATTTTTAACATCATTAACTCTAACATTTAGTACTTTGGATGATGAGATCATTTAAATTTTTATTTAAAAAGTAAAGGGACTAAATTGGGGCTTTTAAATAGTTGGGGACTATTTTGATCCTTCATAAAAAGTCAAGGGATCATTTTGGTCCTATCTTTATCATATTATGTCATTTATTTGTGTGAGTCTACATTTCACCTATTTAATTACGATGCAGTAGCCTTATATGAAATTTGTGTTTGAGTTTATAATTTTCTTCTACTATTATGACTATGCTAATTATTTATAGGTAAAAAGAAGCTCTAACAGATCAAAACTGACCAAAGCAAACTGAAGGCTGAACTATGATTTTAATTGTATTATAAAATGGTTTTATTTATGATTTTTGAGAACTGACATTGTTAGTTTATCTCCGAAAATTAGTAAAACTGAAGCAAATCAAACTATGCTCACCCTCAAGCTATATCTTAGCTAGGAATGAACAGCTAAAAGCAATGGTAATGATGGCTGTCTCTCAATGCATAAATGAATACCAAATGACTCATAAAGGCGAATCAGAAAGTTCTACAAGTTTAATGGCATGCTTAATGATGTCTTTCTATTTCAAAATTTTTTATTTGGTATAAATGGCAAGTTCGCTTTCTTTGTCACATTTAATTTTTGTTTGTTTCATTATTTTAATTTTTCATTACTATTTGTAGATTTTTCTTGCTTTTAATGACTGGATGCTGCTAAATGTTTTATTAAATTATTATCCAATTACTTGAAAATTGGAGAAGCTTGTGTTACAATTTGATAGGCAACTGTTTTTTCTGGCCTAATTTGTTTGATGCCGAGACACATATTCACATGTTTTAGTTTTGATCATGTCATTTGCAGCCGCTGCTCTGCCTTGGAGGCCAAGTATAAATGTAAGCATGCGAGCACGTATTTTATTTGAGAGAAGTGAAGAGCGCAAATGGAAGCCTGAAGAGCTTGAACTTATCAAAAGGTTATCCAAAGTATATATTCGTTTTTGGAGTTGTTTTCTACCATGAATATTTTGATATTAAATATATTATCTTACTTGTGATCTAAACTGCATCTTCATCTAATCTTGGTTGATGCTATTCTAGAAATGACTACATTTTCTTAGGACCGGCTTTTTCATATTCTATGAAATATGCAGCTGGGAACATGATGTTTATTTCTTTGAAAAGTTCCCAAACAAATCCTTGCCTATAAGTACATGAGAAATCTTGAACGTCTAAAACTTGATAAAACCGAGATTTAATTGAAAATTGACAAAATAAACTTCAAGCTCTAAACCCTAGAAGACTTTAAATTAGAAGAAGCTCTCCGTACTAAAGCTAGACTTAGACCATCATCATCATCATTAGCCTTATTTGAGTTATTTAGACAAACTCTATGAGTCCTTGTCCAATCATTACTGTTTAGTGTGGTTTGCATTGTGCTCTTTTTTTACTTCTTGATCCCTTCACATTAATTTAATATGCCTATCTTATTTGTGTATCTTGTATCCTACATTCTACATGCTCAAATCGCTCAACTCTATTTCCATTATATTATCTTTAAGAAATGTTTCCATTTTATGTATCTCCATCGCAATGTCTTCTTTCCTATTTTGTCACACACCCATCATAAGATTTTCAGTCTGTTATACTCAACTTGGTTATCACTGAAATTTTTATTATTCCAACACTTGGAGCAATATAACTCATCCAATCTAATTGCATTTTTAGCATATTTTTTTTTTATCTTTCGTGATATTCTCATATTGCTTGGTAGTCATGTGGTGCCTGCTTATTTTATTACCCATCCTTAATCTCGAAAGGTTATATCCTTATACATGTCTTATTCTTCTTAATAATAAAATATATAGATATTTTAGCCTAGACAACTAAGTATTACTTGATCTTCTCGTAATTTTGAATCATAATTATTAGTTTTACACCACTAATTTTAATGCTAATTTTAAAAATATCTTTAATTGTGCAAATTTTTTAGCGGTCTTACTAATTAGAATGGTTATTCGCATGCAGCATGTACTAATATGCCTCATTTTAAACATCTTTTGTGGACATCTCTATAACAAAAATATATAAACTCAATAATTATTCTTGATGTGATCCGACTATGATTTGAAACTTTTTGGTAATGCCATGCAACTAGTCATCACTCATTACATATATCTTTGATAACTCTGACATAACTAAATAAATATATTTTTTTTGCGATTTATTCTTACATTAATTGAATTAGCTGAACAAGTTCTTCTATGTTAGATTTTTTTGACATAAAATAAAATCGATTCTATTATGCTAATTTGTTTTTTCTAAGCCTATTTTTCGTTACCTTCATCCATCACTTTCTGAATCATGTTGATTCCTTTATTATCACAATTCTAAACTTTTTTTTTTGTTCTTGAATATTAGTACCAAAACACTTCTCCAATCATGCATAATAATTATCTATAGTCTTCTAAAATTTTTATAGTAACATTCTTAGAGTAACTAGCCGTCTATCTCATTTAATTTTGCGTCTTTGAAAGTACCTATCTTGAAAGATTAGTAACTTTCCTCCTGCCAAGTTTTATAGGCTACCTTGGGTAAGTTGTTTCTTTTGATTTCTATTTTTATACCTCCAAGACACATCAAAAACTTTTGTTCTATGTTATGTGGTTAAATGTTTTCCTAAAACTAACTTATTTTCTTTGTAATAATAAACCTGTGACCTCCTATTTGGAGATAAAATGCATATTTATGGTTTGATTGCTCCATTTTTTTAAAATTAAGTTCTCTTGTTACTTTTTTTTCCTTAAAATTTATTAGTTGTCATGAGTCATATTCTCCTTTTTTTTTTAAATAACAAATTGTTCTTACCTTTTTTTTTTAAATAACAAATTGTCACGAATCATGATCATGTGCTGCAAAATCAAATAGCTTTTCCATCGCATTTTATCTTCTATAACTTGCTCACCACGGATGTTTTCATAGCTTCTGCCAATAGAATCTATATATCCATTTAATTTTCACTACTAATAATTAAACTCTTACTATTTCATCCATCTCTTGAAAAAAATAATTTTTAAACTATCTTTCATTCCATGTTTGGTAGCTTAACCATGAACCACATTTATAATGCCTATTATTAACTTATTAGCAATATCTTTCACCACTTTATTAATGTCATCAATTTTATTTTTAAATCTTTTATCCATCTACCCTAGCTTTTCTTAATGTTAATCTTCTTGATATAAAATATTGTATCACCTTCTAGTTCCTTAACATCTTTGAATTTTTTCATCATTTACATTTTGTTGCTCGCATACTTATGACATTTGTTCTTCTTTTAATCTTTATCTCAATTAATGCTTTGGTCTTCTCATTATGAAATTTCAAATTCTTAGTAGTTCTAATCTTAGTTGAATCTAGTCAAATATTGTATATTTTTCACCATGATTAGATCAAGTTGCGGTGCATCACTTGTGGGAGATATTATTGTTGGCATTTGCCTGTTTCTCACAAAATTTTGATTAATTAGGCTTTAGCGTTGTTAAGCGTTGTTAAAGGAGAATTGGGCGCTTGGGTGAGGTGAAGCATCACGCACCTCAGGCGAACTTCATTGCTAAGGCATGCCTAGGCGGATGGACATTTTTTTCTTAACCCGGCATTTATTGAGGCAAGCACCTTGTTCTGATTTAAGTGATAGATGCAAATACTCCTTATGCCAAAGATGAGATTGCTTTTGATAATGGTGATGATAACGTGAGATTTAAAGAGTTGAGAAGAGCATATAGGTAGGTGAAACAAGGAATTGCTCTTGGAAATAAACTAGATCAAATGTATGTGGAAGAGCGTCAAATTTTTTATTAATAAATTTTGAAGAAGAAGAGGATGACTTGAGGAGACAACAAATCAAATGGATGGATATAATTTTAGTGATATATAAGATATTATGGATAATAATAAAGATGGAATAGATGGTACTCAAAATTTCATTATTCATCTCTTATATGCTAAGAACTTTAGGTTAATTGTACTTATTACTTAGTAAAATTTTTGAAATTTTAAAGAAATGGAAATTGATGATTTGTCATTTTACCTAATCAAATATCATATGATGATTATTATTTAATACTATTCAGAAATATTTCTTATTAATAAACTAAATTTGTACATGATAGTCTTTTATTTTTTCTCCCCACTTCATTCGAGCAAATATTTATGGTGGCACTTAAGAGCTTTAGGTTTTAGGCAGCCATATCACTCCGTGAATTTTAAGTGCTTTTGTTGTCACTGGCGGCACATTGCTTATTGTGACATGCTAGCATAACTTCAACTATTTTTCATCACGATCAGGTTGTCATTTTACGTTGCTTCTGTGGATGACCGTTGCATTAGCAAAATTTAGATCTGGTTTCGATTTATGGATTTTAGCTTAAATTTTATAATTGATTGATTTCAACCCTCAATCATTCTCATCTTTGTTTGGAACCAACAACGGTGATTTTAAAGCTAGTAAAAGTTGCATATCAAAGACCTGTTAAGAGTAATAAATCTGTGATGAATTTTATTTATTATTGTTATGAGTAATACGGACTTGAGTGTGTCAGTTTTTTAGTATCAAACATTGTTTATGTACTTTCCTGGTTAGAATGAAAAAATGTATACTTTCTGCTATTTTGTAACTTAGTTATTTGACTTGGTTTCTAGTTTCTTGTCAGTCTAAATGATTTCTTAATTGTTGAAAGCCTTTTTTTGTTGCTTATCAAACTGAGCTAGTTTTCTTGTAAAGATATCATGCAGCACATGGACCAAAATGGAAGGAAATGGCTGATATGCTTGGGAAAAGTAGAGTTCATGTAAAAGATGCTTGGCGAAGGATAAGGTTGCCAAATCGAAAGCTAGGTATGCTTGCTTGTTAAACAACAATGTGTTTTGTGGCGCTTTCTCGTTTTTTAAACAATTTATGGCTCTATGTGAACTTTGCATTTTAGGTAATAATGAATGCTTTTACTGATCTTTCAATTTTACAACTTCATGGTTCTCTAAATTTTCAATTTCTATGTTTTTCCATATTCAATGTTGCCCCTCCAAGTATAGTAGCATAGTTTTCATTTCAACAGTTGTTTCAATGCTGTAATAGAGATGAACTAGGACAGTTGAGGTTTTATTCGAATCACACTGAACAATTAATAGAAAAGATAAATGATTTACTTTTTTTCGAGTATCAATAGATCAGCCAGTTTTAGGGTTTGAGAACATTGTAGAGGCTAGGGCTTGCAAAGGAGCTTCGTTAGCTCCTGGTGCTTTAGCTTTGGCCTCTAAAAACCTTGATCTTGATGACTAACTTTAATGGACGGGGGCCAAAATGTTGGCTTTTATGGGTTAAGAGCTAGCTCTTTAGCTTAATAAAGTTTAATGCAATTAAACATCTTTAGTAGTTGCTAGTTATCATCATCATTCTGTCTTCACTCCCATAGTTAATGATTACTTGTTGAAGGCAAAGCTTTTTACCAAAGTTAATTGCATCTTGATCTACCACTGATTATTGTTGTAAGCAGTACCTCTTTTAGAAATGCTGATCATCTTTTGTCCCAATTGATTGCATCTGACTTCTAATGATCATTTTAGGTTGCAAAGATCACATGTGGCCCTCAATAACTACTCTGATGACTTTGACCTGCTCCAATGCCTTCAACCAATTTATGTTCAATTAAGACTCTTAGAACTATTATTGACATAAGCAATTGATCAATTCGTTGATGCCTCTTTCTTTTGCCTCCATGGGCCCTTCAAGTTTGTTTGTGCTAAAGATGCTAATGACCTTGGCACTGTGTGGCTCAGGTTGGTACAAATAGGATCAAAAGGTTGAAAACTATTGCCCAAGCTTGGTTTGATAGTTTGGTCAACTATTCTGCATGGCTATGTTGCACCGTTACGGATACAGCGACACAGATACGACACGATATGGATACGGGACACGTCAATTCTTAAAAATACATGATATGGATACGGCGCGGATACGGCATTATAATATATAAATCATAGATAAAAATTAAGAAATTAATCAAAGCGTAATATTTGAAATGACAAAAAAAATTAAAAGCAACATTATTTGTAGCATTGTATCTTATAATATGAAAATAAAAGTAAGCATTAAATATTTAAATGTCTAGTACAACAACAAAAAACAAAAATCTAAATTGTCCAACACATGAAGTTTCAACTATTCAATAGAAGGAATGATAGGATTAGCTTCTTCAGTGGTTTGTCTTTGAATTTCTATATCATCTTCAATAAATATCATAGCTTCCAATTCAGGCTCATCAAGTGAAAGATTAGCAATTTCTAATATTCTCATATCCTCAAGAGATTCAAATCCATCTCCAACAACATCCCTCATCCTGTTGTCTCCTTTCATATAAGTTGGAGTTTTCCTTGAGATAAGCCAAAGGTTTGTATGCACATAAACTAAATCTTCAGCCCGTTGTGGAGTAATTTTATTTCTCTTCATTGATTAGATGAACGAGTAATTTAGCCATTTATAATGAGCTTATATTTGGACATACTTTAATTTCATGACCACTAATCTTCAACAAATGAGTTTTCACTCTATAATATGATCCTTTGTATATGATATTACAAAAATTGCATTTGAATGCAATATTGCCTCCCCCTTTTGACGTTTTACTTATTTTTGTCACATAACCCCATAGAGGTTTATTATTATCTTCAATATTAGTCTCTGATCGACCATCATCAGACCTAATTCCTACACCACTAGAGCTCATTATCCTATAAAGGATCGACACAAATTAAATCATATGAATTTGAAACATGAAAAATTTTAAGTAAAGTGTAGATATGTTGTGACTATTCCGGGGGTCCAAGGGGGCGCTGCCCTCTAGCGAGGGTCGACCTGACATTAACAGAGAAAAATTTTAAGCAAAAAGCATGGGGCAGAAGGTACAAATAACTACTTGACAAGTCAGTAAAGACAAATCAGATAATTCTCTATTAATGTGCGCAACACAAAGCACAATGCATAAGAAATCAAAATCTTAGGACTCAAGACAAAGCCGTGGAATGAGCAACCTGGATGACATCTACAAATGCCCCTAAAGATTAGGGGCATTTTAAATATTAATTTGGGTCCACATCGTGCTGTATGCAGAAATCCCCAAATAAATATTTAAAATTTTACCAGGATACAACCAGATGATAGAATAATTTTGCGCATATACATAAGAGTTATAAACTAAAGTGATTGCGGTGTCAAAAGAGAGCAAATGGTGGTGATATTATCCACCATTGTCAATCTATAGAGTGTTGCTCTAGAGACCTGAATACAAGAAACTCTATCACTCTCATGTGGGTCTTTACTTGACTAAAACTAGCATATTAATCAAGTTATTGATTACAAGTGCATCTCAAGATCCATAAAGGCACAAAAATGGACTCTTGGAGATCTACAAAATTAAAAAAATCTTAGTGTGATGTCTAAGCAAGCTTTTAGAGATCCGCTAAATGAAAATCTCTGTGTGACATCCAGAGCAAATATCTAGAGATCTACAGGGTTAATCAACATACAACAAATGTGGTTCGCTCTAGGCGTGTACCAAATTTGTTGGGGGGTATTTGTTGACCCCTATATCTCAAACCACGCAAGAAAGAACCCAAACTGGTGAATAAAGAGATACGCATATTGGCTCCACACGTCACTTAAAGGGTCAAACGACCTCTAATTGCCAAACAGACGGCGCCATTACGGTCAGAACGTCGAATTCTGTTAGGTCAAGGCCCTTCATAGTCGAGCCGGATGAGATCGATCAAAGGGGACAATCGACACCCGAAATAAAAGCGTGAAGCTAATTAAACGATGTCGGATCGACGAACAGACTTCGTCGTTACGTCCGGGACGTTAACCTTTAAAAACTACATTTTGTTTATTCAATTTGATGTATCCGGATTGGTGGCATGGATCCCGAGACAACAACATGAATTTTACGAAAAATTAGCCTTGTCGCTATTCAAAATGGATTCCACCATTGTGATCGGAATATTGTGAATACATAAGAACTATATTTTTATGTTCAATTTGGATTATTTGGATTGGTGGCACGAATTTTGAGGCAAAATACATATCGAGGAGATTAGACCTCGGCATCGCTCAAACAAAATCTGATCGTAAAACAGACTACGTCGTTGTGACCGAGACATCGGCAATACCCTAAATGCACTACCAATTTGTCTAAGTTCTATATTCGACGAAATCGACACGAACTCTAAAATTTCACAGAAATTCTCAAAATCTCAAAATAAAAAAATATTTAAAATTGTAAATCCAACCATCAACCACTTAAAACAAAATTCATCCACCTTCCACAATAGTTTGCTGGGGTGGACAAATTAAAATTAACTTCAACTTATATAGAGCTAATGCCTAGTCAAAAAACATCACAAGGATCCATTCTCAAACAATCTCCTGCTAGTAAGGATGTGGTACGTGTTTTCTAACTGGCGGGTTTGCTGCCAAATGACACCGTATGATAAACGGTTATGACCCGAGGCTCTCTGAACTAAATGGTTTTGCTGTCAAATGGCACTACGAAATATCAATTATGACCAAAGCCAATACGTTCCTTAGTGGCATTAAATCCTTGAGATATGAATCAATAGGATATGATCGATAGGGCACAAAGCTCTCTGTTAGCTAAGGTGGATTCAAATTTGTCCTCTTAGTCAAACTTACCCCAGGTCTACAAGGTCCCCTTGGACGAAGCAACCCATGGCTATCGATAAGGATCCTTCTGTCAGGTTTTGTCGACTACCTCCTCTGACCAAATAAACCAGGGACCACGATGGCCCAGGATGATGGAACCATGGGATCTTGATCGGGTCCATCATCCATTCCCCCATCATCCAATTTAATAGACCTGTCAATATTGGACCCGACCAGAAATTCCGACCCGAACTTGACCCGGAATTTTCGGGTTTGGGTTGACCCGAACCCGAAGCGGGTCGGGTTCGGGTCCGAAAAACCGACCCGTTTGCAAAAACGAGTCGGGTTCGGGTTGACCCGACGGGTTGCCGGATAAACCCGAAAACCCGTTTATTTTAAAAAAAATTGAATTTCCCTACCCCGCTCGCTGCCCCCACCCGCTGCCCACTGCCCCCGCCCCGCTGCGCCGCATCGCGTCGCTCGAATCGCCCCGCTGCACCGCGTCGTCCCTCTGCACCGCACCGCGCCCCATTGCACTGCGTCGCTCGCCTAGTTCGCGTTCGCGTCGCTCGCGTCACCCACTGCATCAAAGCGGGTCGGGTTGACCCGAACCCGAAGCGGGTCAGGTTCGGGGTTGTTTGAAAATTGACCCGTTTGCAAAAATGGGTTGGGTTGACTCGAATCCGAATAGTGTCGGGTCAGTTCCGGGTTGACCCGACCCGACCCGTGACCGCGAATTGATAGGGTCTACAATTTAAGTGCAAGGGTGGTAAAATTTCTTTTTTTAATATCAACTTTCTAAATTCCTAAATCCAAGCTCTGTGCTGCTACTATACACCTGATACTACGTATCTATGGATACAACGTAGATCTGATCGACGACTAGCCTTAATTGAAAGTTCTCTCCATGATTGGGAGGGGTAATTAATTATAGGGGCTTGCGCCTATAGGAAACCAGAACTCAAATCATAAAGTCTCTGCAAAATGAGGCGAAATTTCTGGATAGTGTCTTATCTACAAACCCATCTGTTTTTCCCAAAATTTACCCCAGAACTTTATTTTGTTAAAACTCCCCGAGAGAAAAAGTAAACCCCGGGCGGAGTCCGGGGCCGAATTTTCGGAGCCCTCAAAAATCTGCAAAGCATGATGCAGCATAATAATATATGCTCCTGCAAAACGAAAGGCGATTATATAAGAAATTGGTTACTAACAAAA